TGCGTATAGTTGTGGCATACTCCTCGACACCCTTTTAGCTTCAAGGGTCCTTTAATTCATATCACTTCATACACTATCATATTCCTTCTCCAGGTTGGCAAAGTCCATGTGGAGATCCTTATTTCTCTTTATGTATTTCTCCCTAAGGCGTTTGGGAATGTGTATTATCATCGTTGATATCTTAGGCATGAGGTCAAACTGGTTTTCGGATTTTAATGTTTCATATTAACCCGACATTAAACAATATCTCTCATAGCTTCTTGGTATGACTAAGAAGTTTTAAATACCATATTTAATTTTCATATATGTTGATATCTATTTTATTCGTATATGTAAGAATCCAAGTACTTGGTCTCCAAATTGATGGTGTTTATATTCTCACATCTATATCATTAGCATAATCAAAGTAATCAACAACTTTTATTATATAAAAAGTGCTTTCATGTGTCCGATCTTTAGAGTCAGTCGATATTGTCCGACACCGTACCCATTTCCAAAAAATTACTACTTAGTGCTACAAAATTAATGATCTTTTAGCATTATGTAAATTATTTTGAACATAAGGTGCAACTAAATAAAAATATGTCATCCATAGAAACAAAGAACGAGCAAGACCTATAAGGCGTCTCATGGCGCTATTGTCAACTATCTTGATTATATTATACATTCAAGGAGGTTGGTAAAATAATCTTATTTGTGATTTAGTTACATGAATTTTGTTAACTACGACTTGAACCAAATCAACGTAATTCAAATTTGTGGGCAAATCTATACCATACTCACTGCATCCTGATGTTATGTATTCCATAACGTCATTTCTTCTTTGCCACGTTTCTTCTGTGTATAGAGCAATTCTAAACATTTGGCATGATGGAGCCATATATTTGTTCGTTTTAAGGTTCCTAAGATAGTGTTTTCCAAAATGTTGTCTTAAGCATAAGTTAACCAAACCCACCCCATAAAATAAACAGGTTGGTGAGTTGGCGGGTCAGAAATCTCAACCCAAACCCGTTTATTTTCGTATCGGATTCGTATTGGGTTATAGGTTGGGTCGAGAATTGTCACCCCTAGATAGAATATATGCGAGTACAAGACAGACATTTGAACAACTCATAACCCCTCTATTTATAGACTAGAAATGTACAACGAACAAGCTAGACCATGCTTAAGTATGATGGAGATATGGAGATCTATATTCAAAACATTTATATTTAGGAGTGTCTTCGCATCAATCTTCATCACCATCTTCACATAATCCCACATAATCTTGGTATCATCAAAAACTTATCTTACACGTATAAAAACATTTAAAAATGTATAAAAAAAAAACTTATCTTCACATGTATTAAAAAAAATGTCTTAAAGTTATTTTTTGGTTTAAATATTATTATACATGTCTTTAATAATACGTATAAATATGTTTAAATGAAAAAAGAACTTTGAAAACGTTTTTTAAGGTGTAAATATATATAAAAACGTTTTTCCTATATATTTTGGAAAAGTTTACAAAATAGTCCAAATGTTTTGGTTTTTGCAGAAAGTTCTAATATTTTGGATCAGTTTGCGAAATAGTTCAAAATTAATTTGTTACCGGCTGAACCGTAAAATAATGGTCAGAATGCAACCTTTTACCGATTTTAGGACTTTTTTGTAATTTTTTTTTACTTTGAAACTTTTTCGTAAACTGACAAAAATATTGAGATTTTTTTAGAGATTTACCTTTAAAATGTAGAGAAAAAAAATATAATTTTACAAAGTATTCTTTAAAGTAGAGGAATGAAAAATGTTATTTTAAAAAGTAGAGAGGTGTTTGTTGAAACATCCACCGACATTATTTTTTAATATATTTGGCGTGTTCGACACAAAACATTTGTGAGGGCTTAGGAGCTCCTAGAGTTTGACAAAACGATTCATTTGAACAAAAAAAATCTTGTTTGAAACAACAAACTTTTAGCGTTTAGTATAAATAAAACGCTCAATATTTTATGCTTAATAGAGTTGTATAATACAACATTTTAAAACATAAATTGTTGTGTACAGAGAAATTTTATTGTGTACGAATCAACTATTTTAACAAAACGTTAACAGCAAACTAGCTACCCGTTACTCGTTGCCCGCTACCCGCTAGTTTACCAACTCGTCGATAGTTAATTTCTAATATATGGTTGGAGTTGGAAAAAAGCTTTTAAATAGATTTTACATAATAATTGTGTAAAATATTTATTGTAAAGCTTGGAGTTGGTGTTAAGATTGTTTTTATGAGATTGAGGGATAAATGCAAGGATAGTCTTGAATATTTAGATTTTAGAGCATGAGAGAGTGTTTATTCTTGCAGTTTCAGTTTTATTTTGTAATGGTGTTGAACCATATGATACCAAATTATTATTAGTCATTATTATTTTCTTTATTTTATATTTTATATTTGATAATTGATAATTGATGTGTTGATTTCGTGTGCGATATACAATATCAACATCATAACATATTTTATTTCTGGAAATACTAAAAAATTAAGAACAAAAACATTTTAGGATATTTAAATATTACATATCATCATCAATTACCAACATTTTGAACATGCATCGTAAATTAGTGGCGGTGGTAGTAGAGATCTCGATCGAACGAAAGTTCTTTCATATTTTTTCATTTTCTTTAATATTTTAATTTGTGAGAGATCTCAGCTGCCACTTGCGGATTATCTGTTTGGAATATATTCATTATATTCGTTTAAAAAGAAGCGAAAGCATAACACGCTCCATGTGACCAAAAAATGTTATATCAATTATTGCTTTTGGTATTCGTAATTGTTCAATAATCGTAATTATAAGGGTTAAAACTGACGTCTAAGTTTCAAGTATTTGACAAAATTACTACTTCTATTTAATTTATTATTAAACAAAATCACTCCAAATCTATATATATCACTAACTAGTTGTGAGATCTGTATACAAAGATCGATTAAAAAAATATATAATTGTGTAAACATCAAGCATGATGAATAAGTAATTCAATCTATGAAATAAAAAAAAATATTGACAATTTAAAAAAATTATTTTGAATCATAAATTTCTATAGACTACTTTGAATTCAGGAATTTTGAATTTATAAATAAAATAAATTAATTACTAATTTATAAAGAAAGTGAGTCGATTACTAAAATTTTGAAATTGAAAGACTTTTATTACATTTATTTACATAAACATCAAAAAAAAAAAAAAAAACAAATTAATTAAACATAACTTTAAAAAAAATGACATGTGGTGAAATCAATGAAAATGAGTTATGGGTGAACATATAGATCGGATCGGACCGACTTTTGGACCGTATCGATTTCGGAGAATATTGTGGACTATGGACTAGGCGGGATGAGATTTACCGGGTTTGGGTCCAGTTTCGAGTCCAAGTCTGGTTTTTCCGGTTCCTGGACACGGTTGGACCGGTACAACTTTACATGCATACAATACAAGTCGTTAAAATGTGTTTTTTTGGGTCTGATACAACTCAATAAAACGAATATGTCGTTGGGTTTGATACTATATAACTCGTTAAAATGAATACGTTTTTAGGTTTGATATGATACAACTTGTAAAAATGAATACGTTCTCGTCTCTTGTATCCGTTGGACCGGTCAAACTTTGATTGTTCATATAATTTGTTGAACTTTAAATCATATAAGTTAATGATTTTATCATATTTCATGCATAACTAATCTAAATATCTATAATATTATAACTGGTAAAGTTAATTTTCCAAATAAAAGCACCTAACATATAAATCAAGTTACCAATAAAAGTTAACAATCTTAACACAATCATACAAAAGTAATTACCGTAACACCAAAACTTATAGTTTAAACTTTAAAATCAATCCAACTAACAAACGTCATAATCTAAGCTTTCATTGGCCGCTTCTCCATATCATTGTAATCTAAATCTTACATGTTTAAAGCTAGTGCAATCTTTACATAAACATAAAATGAAAATGTTAGCATTTTATAAAAAGTAATAATTGTATAAAAAAGAACAAAGATTGTAAATTTTTTACCCAAAGCTATATCATCATCGTTGAAGATGTCATCAACGTTGTCAATTATCGAGTTTGTAGACTTTCTTACCGAATCTTGGGTGCATAACAAAGCTTCAACTATCAATGTCGACAAATTAGCCTAATACTCACTTACAACTCTACCACATGTGCTAAGCGGACTCAGACGCCACACTTGAGATTTGTATCGCCAACATCTCTAACAACAAAAAAATTAAATTGTAACGACATTAATTTGTAAAGAAACTATGAAAGACTAAAAAAAGTAATCGTCTTTCGCGATCTGAGCAACTATCTGGAAAATAATCGTGTTTACTCTCTACAATCTGAGAATTAAAAAATATTTTTTTATAATTCATTGTATTCTCTTTCAAATAGGTTTGTAACTCGTTATCCATTGGATCCGGGTTGCTACCTCCCTTACGAAGAAAATCACCAAAAAAATCGTTATCATCATCACAATCAATGACTATTTGACTCGCTTCTTGTTGAGAAGATCCACCATTGTCAAATCATTCCAAGTAGTTCATAAATAAATTATCCATCCTATTCTCAACCTCTCAGACCATTTGATGTGCTTTTATGTCTATGACTGTAAGGGTCAATGACGATTCCTTGTACCCAATCATTTTTTTTAAATGCATGTAACAAAAAAATGTAATTTGGTGGTAGGATCAAGCAAAACCGCAAAGTACATAAAATCGTTCATCTTGTTATAAGCACCCCAAATACTTGTCGTATTTCGTCTTCATGTCCTTTACCATTTTGAGAAACATTGGTTTGGTTGACCACGTTATTAGATGTATATTAACAACTAAGACTTCCCGGATAAAAAGATTTACCAAAGGTTTTGATGTAGTCGAAACAAGCTCTGTTTTTGTCTTGATTTTTTCAAACAACTTTGCCATATCCGTTACAACTTCAAATTCTTCTATCACAACTTTATCAAATGTTTCCTAACAAGAGGATGTTTCTTTGCCACTAGTTTTTCTTTTGCCACTCGTTTTTTCTTTAGCACTTGTTCTTTTTCTTTTATTAAGAGTTGCTTGATCATCTTTTTCCGAATTGTCAACTAAATTAATTGGTGGTGTATTCTCAACAAATTCCTCTTCACTAACCTAAAAACAAATAAAATGATTCAAGATATATCAAGAAACCATAGCAATCTAATTTATAACATTCAACAAAAATTAACAAAAATCAACCAGAAATAGTAACCTAGTTTACATATAATCACAATAAAAACATTGGACAATAAATCAACTGAATATAACAACATACTTTGTGACATTCAATAAAAATTAACAAAAATCAACCAAAAAGCATAACCCTAGTTTACATGTAACACCCAGAATCTTGAGGAGCAATAGTTGAGAGTAAAATCCTCTTTTGAAGGTTGGACACGGCGTGTTGGAGGAACCAACACGGTGTGGTGGAAGAACCAACACGGCATGTCTAGATTTGAAGAAACACGAAGTTTAATGGACCAACACGGCGTGTTGTGGTGTCTTAACATGGCGCATTGGCAGCTGGGAAGGAAACCCTAACTTTTAGGATATTGCGACCTCTATAAAGACATTAAGTCCTCATAGTTGGCCTCCTTACCAGCCTTCATTGTTGCTAAAACCCTAAAATCGATCCCTAAGTCTCTTGGTGATATTCTTGAGCTAGAAAGAAGTTCTTGGTGCTCATTTTTGGCCTTTGTGAAGGAAGAGGATATCTTGAAGTTGTCTTGCTTGGTGGAAAGACTTTGGATCCAGAATCATCATCTTGTGGGAAAGCTTTCTGAGGTATCAAGTTTGCAACCTGGCTTATAGATGTTTAGATCTCTTCATTTTATGCTATGTTATACTTTTGGTCCCTTTTTAGGTTGTTGAGAGAGTGAAGTCGTTTGACAGGCTTGTTATTCTATACTTGAGTTTGTTTGGACTCCTTGAGCATAAAGGTGCATGCTTTATGAGATAATTGGCTTCATTCATGTAATAAGTCACTGATTTGGTCCCTTTTAAGCTTAATATCATCATTTAGACATGCATAAACGTAAAGTTGGCAACTTTACATGGTTTTCCAGCTCAAGGAAATCAGATCTATGTTTTGGGGTTATGTCTTCAAGGATTAAGTGCTTACCGGTTAAGCCCTTGCATTATTAAGCTTTATGGATTGAGTTTCAAACCTTTTGGGTAGTGCCAATGGATAAAGTTGGAAAATTTATCCTTTGGGACCATGTTTCGGGCTAGAACTGAGATTTGGAGCTCTTAGAATCGGAGAAAACAACTTAATGTATTAAGCTGTTGAAACTCGGGCGAACACGGCGTGTTTGTTGGCCAATGGTGTGATGGTTGGGGTTTTCTCGACTGTTTGGATGATGTCGGAACACGGCGTGGCCAGGTGGCAACACGGCGTGTTTGGTCAAAAGAGGCTATTGACTTTGACTTTGACAAGAAGTTTGGCTAGGGTTGACCATGGGATATTTTTGGCTTCGGTTTGGGCCTCCCTTTTTGGGTTGGGAGTTTGGGTTCTTGTTAGATCGTCGGAGAATATGAGTATTTGGACTAGGAAAATGTTTGGGGTTTAGGGTAAGGCCCATGTAAAGGGTTTGGGCCCAATTTGGAAAATTGGGCCAAGTATGGGCCTTGAATGATTATTTGGTTTTGGGCCTTTTAGATTTTGAGTTTGGGCATTAGTCTTGGGCCAAACTAGGTGAGGGGTAAAATGGTCTTTTTACCCTAAGAAAGGATTGTTGGACTTATGTTTATGGATTGGGACCCAAGTGTTGATTGGGTGTTGTTTTGATATTGACAGTTTGGGGATCTGTTAGCAAACAGCCATGGATTTTCTATACGATTTGACAGTGTGAGGTGAGTCTCCTTCCTATGCTTAGCGGGTCGAAGGCACCAATGTTGGCCCATGGTTTGTTATGCTTAATATGCTTTTTGTCTTAGTGAATCTTGCATGTATAATTTTTTTATGCTTACCGAGCGGCGCTCGATTCTAGGCGGGGCCTGATGAGTATATTGTATGCTAGTTATCGGTATGTGTTTTTATTATTACCAGGAATGACCCAATGTCGGGCGGGGCCTGATGACCATTCTGTATGCTATGTATCTTTGTGATTATTGCATATGTTTTGTATTGTTATGTTTGTAAGTTTATATGTTTTATATGGACACTGGGCGGGGCCCTACGACTTACAGATCTGTATATTGAATGGGGCTTGATATCAGGCGGGGCCCGATGACAGGGTGGCACCCATTATGTGTTTACTTGTGTATGTATGATATGTGGTAGTTTGGGGGACCTCACTAAGCTTTGTGCTTACCGTTTTCAATTTATGTTTTAGGTACTTCGATTTTCAAATGGAAGAGCTCGGGATGATTACAGAGCACATACCACATGTTTCCACGCTCTGTGATTTACTCTGATTAATGATGTTTTGATAAATCTTGATTACCTTGGTTTTATAGAAACGTTATGTATTTACGACTTATTAATCTAAAAACAAAAATTTTATATTATCATTTTTGGGACGTTACAAGTTGGTATCAGATCCTTGGCTTGAGGGATTAAGACATACTCTCAGGTGTGTCTGAACTCAAACTGAGGATTTGGTAAAGTTTTCAAAAAGAAAGTTATTTTTAAGAAAAGAGTTTTCGAATATAAGAATTACATGCTAGTTAGGGTTAAGGATCTGCTCAGGATTTTCTGATAGGAGAGATGCCTTTATATGCCTGATTGTATGAACTTTTAGAATTGCATGCTAGTATGATTTTGAGATAAGTGGATAGAATGGCTTGTTTAGTGTGTGTTGGGTAGTTTTTTCATTGCTTGAATACTGTTTGCTTTGTGCTTTGTGGGACTCTTAGTGATGTGAATCAGCTACTAAGTGAATATGCTAAGTCACATGTGACATAGGTTAAATAATCTTAGAGTGATGGATTTATCCCTATTCCATAGCTCCCATCTGAGTCCAACCGTTCTAGGGTTTAGTCTTTTACTTAAAGGATTATCTGATCTCTGTCGCATGTGACTATATTCACGAGGTAGCTAATTGACATTGGTGGGAGTCTTTCAACAGCTGAGGGTTAAGTGAGGTCGGGAACCTTGGAGAGCCAAGGATATGCTTCAATGGGTTTAGTGGTGCGGTTTGTGAGCTTTTGGGGCATCAGTCTGAGAAGGTGGCTTAGAGGATTCGGGAGGATTCTTTAGGAAAGTATGGATAGGTGTGGAAGGTAGTATTGGGGCTGTACTACTGAAAGCACAGGATCCATACTTGAATCGAGGAGAGTCTTGGAGAATCTAGGAAGCCTGTGGGATGAGGATTCATGGTTATATTCTAATCATGGGTATGATTGATTTTCAGAATGGTGATGAGTACACATAGGGAGGGTTGAGGGTCTAGTTCAGGCTCCGTTGGTGACCCAGTTGGTAGAAGAGATGCCATGGTTTTGAGTTTGTGTTGGATTGAGGATATGGATAGTGTTTTCCACACTAGTCCCTATCCCATAGGAACCAAGGTTAGATTCTCCTTTGATCTCTTGCATCAGGTGACAAGGAGTTGTCGGGAATTTATTCCACAATCTATTGCACTTTTTGAATTGGAGACTATGTCTTGGTACGAGTTTGTGACCCAGTTCTTTATTGGGTTCAGTTGTCGTTCCGGTTCTTTATTGGGTTCAGTTCAGGGATATCGATTGGAAGGTCTATGGTCAGGTTCAAAAGGTTAGCTCTCCAATTTAGTCAAGATTCATTGGTTTTAGTATTTGATCTAGTGAGGGTGATAGTTGTCCATGAAAGATCTTTTGGGGTCAGACACTACCATTGCCAAGGGATGAGCGGTAGTAGGAAGATGATGGTGTCAATTGCATGAGTTGTTGGTCATTGGAAATGTCAAGGGAATTTTATATTCGCACAAGTGGTAGACAGTTAGAATTTAGTGGCTCAATGAGAATGGAAGTTGAGGTGAAGATTCGTCAGTCAGGGCAAGGGTTATGGTTTTCATTCGCCAGCATAAGACAAGGAATTGGGTTGGTATCATGGGAGGTGATTTAGATTATCCGATTGGTTAAGATTTCAAGAGTATTCTTCAGGAGTTGGACGATCATGGAGAATTGGCTGGTAATGGAATGCTAGTATTGGTAAGCGCAGGTCATAGGCGGTTCAGGTTATATAAGGATTATCGGGTTGGGAATTCATCGGATTGATGGGATGAGAGAGAGAGAGAGAGAGAGAGATTCATCTAATCCAGGTTGGGTAGAATCGATCAGAATTTCCAAGAGTTGGATCGGGTGTGAAACTAGGGTAAGTTTCGCATCCCAATCAAGAGGAAAGATGACCCAATAGCCATCTGGATTGAGGCTATGTAAGTTGGAAGTCCAGGAAACTTCTAACTACTGGTCGGCATCTCCTTTTTCTATGCATAGAAGTCTTGTGGTTGAGTCTAGGTTAAGGGCTTTGGAATTCGAAGTATAACCCAAATACCTGATTGGATGTAGGTTTCGACTCAGCATGTGTGGGGTTGTGATGGATAGGGTGTGGTAAGGCCATGGGTGGTAACCATGGTTGGTTAGAAGTGTTGTAATAATGCGATGGGATCATAGCATTCACCAGTTCGAGGTTGACTATCATTGGAGGTGGTCATGAGTGTAAAGGGGGAACCAGTTCGTGCCTTGGGCGTGCCGGTCAGGATTGTCAAAGAGTATTGCTATGTTTTAAGTTGAGGACCATTGTAGTGTGAGGCGGAGTTAGGCGGGTGTAGTTCTAGATGGGTGAGACACGTGAGTGAGGATGCTATGTGGTATAGTTGGGTGGGACCTGTGGGCAAGGCCTGTGTGATTATGTCAATACAGGTAGGACCTGGTAGAGGCCGTTGGGTCAAGGTATTGGATCTTGAGTTACAGAATTAAGTGGGTGGTCAGTGTGTAACGCATAAGGGTTTATAGGCTGGGTAGCCTTGTTATTTGGACTCTTGGGAACCTGGTGGTTCAACCATGTGCAAGATTGGTAGTCTCAGCGATGGTTTGGGAACCTTTATATCCCGGTCTAGTAAGGGGTTGTCGTGAATCAGAAAGTTTTGGATGAAATGCAAGTGAAGATCCGTGGATCTCGGGTTATGAGTTGAGTATCAGGTTGGTTTGTGGGGGAGATCTCAAGTTAAGAATCGTGAGTGTTTATGTGCAGGATTTTCTTTTCTATGTAATAAGAATTAGGGTATTTATATGCTGAAGGCATCAATCAAAGGGTTCAAGAGTAAGGAATGAATTCCGTTTTTATGGTAGATCAAGCTCTTGTCATTGTGTCTTGGATTAGTTCTATTTATGAAGGGCATCAAGATAAGTCAAGGAGGTATTATTCATTTGGAACTCGTGTGTGGGGTCGCTTTTTTAGTCAGGGAATATGTTAGGTCACTTGTAGTTTGGATTAAATAATCTTAAAGTAAATGATTTGACCATGTTGTGTAGCTCTCGTCTGAGTCTAACCATTGCAGGGATGAGTCTTTTACTTGAAGGATTATCTGAG